AAAGAAATAAAAGATTGGATTAAACTTAGAAAGACAGGGGTAAATATTAAGGTAGCCACAAGGGAAACTAACAATCCTACACATCAAAATAAAAAACAAGAAAAACATAAAGACTCAGCAAATACAAAATCAACAACAATGAAAAAGATGAAAATACATAAAGAAAAACTACTCAGTGCAGAAAATTAAGTGGAACAAAGAAACTGTTAACAACACAAAAAAAAAAGACATCAAAATATGACAGCACTAAACTCATACCTATCAATAATCATGGTGAATGAAAATGGACTAAATGAACCAATAAAGAGACAGACAGTGGCAGAATGGATTAAAAAACACAATCTGTCTATATGCTGCCTCCAAGAGACACACCTTAAAGACACAAACAAACTAAAACTCACAGGATGGAAAAAAACATATCAAGCAAACAATACTCAAAAAAGAGCAGGAGGGGCAATATTAATCTTTGACAAAATAGACTTTAAAGCAAAAGCCACCACAAAGGATAAGGAAGGACACAACATAATGATTAAAGGGTCAATACACCAGAAGGACATAACTATACTAAATATTTTTGCACCCAACAACAGGGCTCCACAATACATAAAACAAACTCTAACAGCATTGCAAAGAGAAATAGACAGCTCCACAGTAATAGTAGGAGACTTCAACACACCACTTTTGGTGAAGGACAGAACATCCAGAAAGAAGCTCAATAAAGACACAGAAGATCAAAATGCCACAATCAACCAACTTGATCTCATAGACAAATACAGAACACTCCACCTAACAGCAGCAAAGTATAGTTTCTTTTCCAGTGCACATGGAACATTCTCCAGAATAGACCACATATTAGGCCATAAAGCAAGCCTCAACAGAATCCAAAGCATCGAAATATTACAAAGCATCTATTCTGACCATAAAGCCATAAAAGTAGAAATCAATAGCAGAAAAAAAACGGAAAAAAAATCAAACACATAGAAACTGAACAACACCTTGATCAAAAACTACTGGGTTATAGGAGAAATTAAGCACAGAATAAAGAAATTCACAGAATCAAATGAGAATGAAAACATATACTACCAGAACCTTTGGGACACAGCAAAAGCAGTACTCAGAGATCAATTTATAGCAATAAATGCACATATCCAAAAGGAAGAAAGGGCCAAAATCAAAACATTAACCCTACAACTCAAACAAGTA